CAGAGGGAGCTGTCTCACTACTGAATGAGAGTCTCCCTGCCTTGTGCTTCCTTTATTTCATATCCATGCACCTTTCAGTATGTGGATGCATTACCCCTCATCCCTGAATATCTGGTGATGTTCCTTAGCTGAGTTCTTAACTGATAGCATTTACTGAGATATGCACATATTTTTTCTGTCCCGATTCCCTGCTGTCTTGGTGTTGTTCTATTTTACATCTTCAACCCATTTGTAAATCCAAATAATACAATTTATTTAAGAAACTTTAAATTGTCATTATTTTAGTTAACAGATATTCTTTACTAAGACTGGTTGTGAACATGATCTATTATTTTTGGCTTCAAGCTCTTTCATTATCTCTCATCTGGGGGGGGGGGGGGAAAGAGATGAGATTGTTTAAGTCAAATGCCATCGGTCTCCAAATGCAAATGGCTTGAACTCTTCTACCCTGCCCTGAGCTTCCTGTGCATCTTCTCCCATCTACTAGGAGAAAATGTAGGTCGAGGAGCCAACCTGCTGCTGGCCATGCTGGGGTCTACACTCACACCCCATACCATGCAGAGCTCTCCGCCTCAGCGGATGGGACATATGCACAGAAATTTCATGTTGTGGTTTGGCTTCAGTTCTGCATCCCCTCCTAGTTTCTCAGCCTATTTTTAACTCTCAGTGGGCTAAAACTAGAACTCCTTCAGCACATATGTGACAGTATCAAGGTCTGGTTCAGCTCTGAGTAGATTTGACAAAGGTGTTGCAATGGAGTGAGGGGCAGGCTGGAGTATCAGAGCTGCCCTCGATTGGTAAAAGTGTTGTTGATCTACAGCGAAGACTGGCAGAGTGTGTGTACACCACAGAGAGCAATGTCATATAGGGATATGGGTGATTTACATGAAATATCTTGGATAATAAAAGTTGCAAAACCTGGTAGTGTCGATCATCCTGCAGACCCATTTATTTTTACCTTTATCAGATTCCCAAATCTCTGTCAGATTTGTACTTTTGCCTCACATCTGTCTTATGCCATTCTAAGGCTTGCCTTGAACATGTCATACGTATGGCAAATCTGAGAATAAGCAGAGAAAATGATGCATTCCCTGATTGAAGAATTGAAGAAAATCTATTAGCTACACCTTTTGGGGAGATTAATATGTAGACTTGCATTTTTTTAATCTAGCAGTTCTTACAAAAAATTTTAATTCAAGCAGTCACAGGATTTTATGTATAAGAAAAATATTTAGTCAATATGTCTGTTTTGTGTCGTTTTTCTCTTTTATTTTAAAGATTCGATTTTTAAAACTATTTTTACTTCACTAAATTAAACATAAATTCAGTTCAAAGAACAAGACTGTCCCCAACGTGGAAATGATCCAAGAAAGAAGCAGGAAACGTATTAAAGGCTTCTCTGCAGTTTCTTAGCATTATTGACTTAGGGGACAAAAGGAGTATCAAAGGATGTTTGTTCCTCTCTGATTGAACAGCAATCTGTCTTGTATCACATTACTCTTAGACTTCTGCTCATAAAAACAGAAGTTAGTTCAAGCAAATGTCTTCCCCCAGAGTCACTGACTACGTTTCCATTGGACTACAGTCCAACGGTTTGAAAAAATATGGAGATGAAACATTTGGGCCCTGTGTTGCTCTTGGTTTTGGCTAGGTGTATGTGTTTATTTTTTAGTCATGCTGAGGCCAGAACACAATGCTGTATCTTTGTCAGGCTAGCTAATAAAAAGGGGGCAAGACAATTCCTCTGTTAGATGGGTAAATGCTTTGGCTTAAATTCACCTTCAATATCTAGAAGATTTTTGTTGTTGGTGGTGGGTTTTTTGTTGTTTTTTGTTTGTTTGTTTGTTTGTTTGTTTTTCTGTGCACCTGGAATGAAACCACAAGATTTATTTATAAGTTTTAAAGAAATAAGCACATCTATTGATTGCATGGCTGTTAATACAAATGTCATCTGCAATCAATTGTTCAGCTAAGAAAACAAAATAAAACTACTTTTTACAAGGAAAAGTTTGTGTTTCTCGTTGTAGGGCGGGGGGTAAGTAACTGTCACAAAACTGCAATGTTATAAATTCAAATATTTGTCCTCCATTAAGCTTCCATTGAATCATGCTATTACATCGTTTGGCTAAGATGGAGGATCACAAGGCCCCAGGAAAGAAGCTGCTTCTACAAATTTTAAAATAGATGAGAAATAATCTGTCCTCCATGCTGTTGTTAACAAATTGTCTGAGACATTTCCTCCCCCAGCCAAGGGCCAGCTCAGCAGAGGCTCAACAGTTGTGTTGTGTAATGCAGATGTAAGGCAAAGAGGTGCACAGACCTCCCCAGCCGCTTAGTGCCTTTGACATCAGCAGGGAAAGAATCCAAAATTGCAATGAATTTTGCTGGTGTCACCAGCTAAGCAATGCAGATAAATAATGACATTTTGCCAGAGAATGTTTAGACCCAATAAGGGCCAATTTAGCTGGAGGCAGAGACTGTTCCTTGAACTCCTCTGGGCCATGTCTTTGCACACATGGATGTACTTCCTAGTATGCGTGCTTCTGATTATACTCATTTCCCTTTCCCAGTACATGTAGTGCTGTTATCTGCTCTGCAGTGAGAAGTATTTAAAAACACTCTACTGTGTGAAATTCTTATATAAAAAATAGATCTAACATGAATAATCTTTACAGCACTCATGCAGATGAAAGTAGTACATCGGATGCTCTTCTCTTTTGGGAGAAGGTCCAAGTTCTCTTCTGGGGTTTGGGATGTTTGGGAGAGGAGTAAAGCAGCTTTTCAGCTTCTCAAACATATTGATGACCACACATCTCTTAGTTTTGGGACAAATGGTCTGAACACGGCTGTTGTGAGGAGAGAGAAGAAAAGAGAGAAGAGTAGAGCAGAGCAGCGATTGTCAGCAGCACAGAGCAGGATTTCAGAATCTACATTCTGTGCAAATTCAGTTGTCAGTGCCCCCACTGGGGTTGCAGCAGTGTTTGCAGTGCAGACCATGAGAAGGCCTGCCTTTGCCTCTCTCAGATCTGAAGTGTGTGGCACAGTCCCAAGAGCAAGTCTTTTCCCGTAATGCTCCAGTGACCATCCTGAGGTCAGAGGAGTTATGTGCCAATTCACCAACCAATTACTAAGAGATTTAATATCAAAGGAAACAATAGAAGGATTAAGAATCTTTTGTTATCTGGCTTCCTTATTCAGCTCTGGTCCTGTGGCTGTTTCTGGGCTTATGTGAACTCATTTCAAGGTGGAACAACTCTGGGAAAAGCAAGCCAGAGGTTAGTAGGCTTGTGCAAGCTGGGAATTGTTTTTTCTCCTTGTCAGAGGATGATTTCTTTTGCCTGGAGGGATAGGCTAATTTAAGAAAGGATTTGAGAATCCCTTTGGTTTCCTTTCTAACCTAGTATCTCCAACTAGAACATCACAGTTCCCCCAGCATTGGACCTTTGGGGAGAAAACATCCCTAACTCCAATTTACGATGTCACTGTGCACCGTAACTTTGACAGCACAACTCCATGAAGCTATCAGGCTTGGCATCTGGAAGATACTCCTGTCAGCATCCAGGAAATGAGGATATATCAGAGGGGTTTTATTTGAAACTTGGCTGAAGGCAATGGACCTTCAAAGGCTCCTTTAGTTCTGCCCTAGGTCCCAGAAATGCTGTCAAGGACTTTGCAGCAACATGTCACTAGGGACCTGTCCAGGTCTCCATCCATGCTGTACCACAGAAACCTGGTGAAAAGTCCTTTCAGTGAAAAATATCAAACAGCAAAGGCTGCAGTGAGACATGTGGGCTCAGGTTTCTGCATTTTTCTTGCCAGGAAAAAAATAAAAAATCATCAGAGACATTGGTTTGTTCATGTAGGGTTGTTTCAACATAAAGAATAATGAAATAATTCCATTGTTGAGATTCTCATACTGTACAAACATCTCTGAAAATTACACTAAATGTTCCCAAGAACATATTTGCATTTACAAAGATGATGCACTGGAATGGAGGTTTAAGGCAGAAAGTTTATTATTTTTGAGGCTTAAGACAGAAAGTTTATTACTTTTCTCTTTAAGAAGCTTATTTTTACAGATAATGAACAGTAAGACAATAGTATGACAGCGCTCTTATAGTAGGAAGACAGTTGTCATGTGTGGCTACATTACCAGGTCTCCAATATGTCAAATATATTTTCTTTAAAAATCTATGTAGCCTTTATTTCAGATTTAATTATGTTACAACAATAATGATTTTAATAATTTAGTACTCTACAAGATGCTTATGGCAACCTTGAAATTTCCTTTAGCAACACTGACATCAAATAGTAATTTGAAAAAAAACTGCTTCTAGATATCTCCGTGAAACTTTTAAATAATGTTTGATCAAATTCATCTAATTTTGAATATTTATTTAATCTTACCCCGCAGTATCTATGTAAATGTGACAAACACCAAACTTTCAAAAGTTTGCTACTAGGTTCTTAAAAGGAATTACAGATGGAAGTATTCTTAGAGATTCAAAGATTCAAAAGAGATTTCTTTTCAAAAAGAAATAAACTTCCTTGATTAAAACACTTAAATGCTGCTCTCTCTCTCTCTTTTTTTTTTTTTTAGTAAACCATAAGCATTTGTTCATACATGGATTGTAAAACCTTGAAGCCTTTCACACAGCACTGCGTGCAGTGCTTTCTGGCAGGTAAATAGCAGATTGCCAAAGAGTGGGATTTCATGGATGAGTTTTTCATACCCTAATTTTGTAATTATTTTAAACTCCTCTATCAGAAGCCATGGTGAAACTCAAAGCTATGTTAGCTATCAGCACCGTGGGGATTGTTTGCATGTAACATCTACTTAGAAATAAAACTCACGACTTGTAAAAAGTGAATGTGGCAAATACTTTACAAAAATGATTATTCAGAAAGGTTTTGCAGAAAAAGAAATAATTTGGTTGCAAGTTGCCATTCTGAGCAGTTAATGAATTAGAGGAAATTATTGAGAGAAATTCCTTCCTTACCTGCTTTCTGAAAGCCGATTCGCACTAGCAGCACCAGCAGCCATAAGAGGTTCCTGAGATCTTGTTTCCTCCACGCCATTCACGGGGCAGCAATGATATTGCTGCCAAACTGGGGAATCACAAAAGTCCCTGGGAGGCTTGGTTCAATGGGATCTACCATTGTAATATGAAAGGTTATCAAATTTGCATTTGTAGGGCAAAGCTAATCTCATAGAGTTCATCCCACTGCAGCTTAGAAGGGTGAAGCTGTTGTATCATGGGTTTAGATGCTCCTCAAGAGACATTTGGTAAACCGGCAACACGAATATCTAGGATGTAGAATAAAAGCTTTATTCTCAGTTGATCCTTGAAATAGCAGAATCAAGGAGTTGTCTGCTCTTCTCAGGGTGTCTGCAGTGGAGCGGGAGCTGCTCTGAAGGTGCCCTGACATGGTGTTTCCCCATGAGATGGTGCAGGGCACCCAGCAGTGTGGGACAGATTTGGCTGGGGCTCTGGGGGCCTCACTGGGCGACGCACCCCCCATCTGCCTGGACACCATGCAAGGGGTGAGGGATGGGGCCACAGGGTTGTGCCCAGCACTGCCGGTGTGGCTCTGGCTGCTGTCACTTCAGTCACTGCTTGGTCGAGGCCTTGCTGGGCTCAAAGGTGAGAAGCAGAGGAGGAATGCATTGCCATCACTCGTGCCAAGCTTTTCCTTACAAGAAATAGTGTGTAAACTTTGCAAAAACCCTGAGAATCAGTTCATAAAGGGTATTAATTTCCTTAGTTCAGTTTGAGCCACTGGGCGTCAAAGCCAGGTACGTCTAGGTTACAAGGCTCTGCAACAGGAGATTTCTGAAAGGTTTACCCTGCCTTGGTGCAATCAGTGTGAGGAGCTCTGCATTGTCTGCCAGAGCCTGCAGGGTGGTTCTTTTTCTACTGTCAGGCTGTAAATAATACCACTAAACCCTGTAACTGATTAAGAGCACAAAGCACTTTCTGAAGGAAAAATCCTTTCTGAAAGGGCTATTCTGCACAAGTGTCTGCAATTATGTCAAATAAGAATCCTATGGATGAAGTTAACTGTTCTCCAGGTGCATTTCAAAATCACCTCTGCAGGGAAGATGAGCCTCATCTGGTGGCAGAGCTCCTGCAGCTGGAGCTGGAGCATCTGCTGAAAGCTGTGGTGTGTTATCACTGCTGTGATTCCCAGATTTGCAAGCATCCCCTCTTTATCTGCTCGATCCCACTGAAACCCAGACCTAGACACCTCTGAATTTTATGTATTTTCGAGTCCAAGGACTGGTCTAGATTTAACAGTGGTGTTTTACACTCCTTAGCAATCAAATGGTTAAGTGGGCAAGGGGAATGGTTAGGAAGGTAAATACCTATGCAGTGAAGAGGAATTCTGGCTCGGTGCACATGGGAAAGTGTAGCACCTGCGGCATGAAGTAATACTGGATGCCCACGTATCGGGGGTGTGGTGAAAGGAGTTAATGTGAAGGTCAAGTGTTCAGGGACGTGCGTGGATCCTGTATACCTGCATTTCTCACATTGCATTCTTTAAAAGGGCTTTTCCTTTCTGTGGCAAATGTACCCTGGTTGGGTTTTTCTGCAGCCAGGCAGGTGCGCATTCTTATTGTGAGCGGAGTCTGAGGGATTCCCTTACCAGGGCCCCTCTGCAGAAGCACAGGGACCCATCAGCACATCTCCTCCAACAGGCAGGTGCCCTGCAGGGTGTGCAGGTGCCTTGCTATTCACCCTTCATGCACACAGGCAGGCCACGCAGGTAAAAAATCCAGGTAGAGCCATTCTGGCTCCGCTCAAAGAGTCGGAGCAGATTCCCTTTCATGCACCTGGCTCCTTCCCTCCACAGCAGGAAATATTCCCTGCAGGGAGAGGAAAATCTGTGTCATCCCTTATGATCTCCATCAGGAAAAATGTCTCCAGATTTCACCCAATGTGGTCTGAGCAGCGGGGAAACAGCTGGTTCATAATGTCACTGCTTCAGTGTCACAGCACTAGCAGTCTGTGGTCTGTGCAGCTCATGGCCCAGCTTTTAGGCTGTTGCATCTCCTTGTGGGCTTCCCCCTGATGGCTGTGGTCTGACCAAGGCTAGCAACCCCAACACAGCACTTAGCCCTTGCCCAGGCCAGGTCACTGTTGGTGTGCAGCAGAAGTTGAAGAGTGACAGGTAATGATAAAAACCCATGAAGAAGCAATAACAAGAGGGGTCATCAGCATGTGAGTCCCCCTTGTGTCTTCACAGAAGCAGTGCTGAAGCTAAGGCAAAGGACTGCGAGAGGGTTCAAGTGGGACTAGGCTAGGAAGTATGGAGTGCTGCAGCTGGGCATCATTCTCATTGGGTGTTTTCCTCTTAGAGTTCAATAAAACATCATTTGTTAAACTTTCACCAGGAATGTGTTGGGTTTTGTCCGTTCTACTCTGAATGCAAAGTCAAACATGCAAATAAGGCTGAAATGTTCCATTTTTAAGAGACAAGAACATAGCATTTCCATTTTTCCTTTCAAAATAATTTTTGCTATGAAAATTATCACTTGATGTAATAAATTACAATAAGAATATAAAAGAAGCCTGTCAAGTTGACAACAGAGTATTTCAAGTAACTTTTAAAAACTTTTTAAACATTCCATTTTGTTCTGAATTTCTAAATATGACATTTCACTCTACATTGGACTGAAAGCTGAGTTTCCAATCACAGAATTTCCTAGGAAACAGACATTTCAGTTTCCACGTAGGTGTAGTCTTAATGCACTAAACATTTCAAACCCTAAACTTTGATTGGGTAGCATTCAAAAACAATTTCTGAAATCTATAAAACCTTTTGCATAGACACTTAGAGATGTTTTGTCAGTGTTGCTTTTAAAACTTTGAAAAGAGACGTACAGTTTGGTGGCAGAAGCTCTTCAGGTCCCCAGCACAAGTCCCCGATGACACTCCTCATCTGGGACTGGCATCCTCATCTCTTGCTCCTTGTACATCTGGCAGTGAAATTCAGTTTTACAACTTTAGTTCAAAGTAATTAACCTCCAGTAAGGTTTAAATTCATCACTTCAGCTATTAAAGGTAGGTGCATTATTAAAGTGCATTGAAAAAAGGCAAGGGGAGTGGCTCTTCACTCTCTCTTTTCCAACAGCACCAGGAAATGGCACGATGGCGAGCTCAGCTGCAGGCTCAGTGGAGGGCTGCTGCAGATCACCGTGGACTAACTTGCCCTACATCAGGCCCTGAGTTCACTCCCAAGAATCAGCATCTAGACTTGAGGGTGAATTTCATTCTGAGACTGTCATGGAGGCCACTTGCAGTAACACAGAGATTTCTCCTGCAGGTCCTGGTGATCACCAGGCTGCCCACAAAATGCTTTCGAGGGCTCCCAAGCACATGGTTCACTCTACCCTCAGCTGCAGGGTTGCATTGGGAGTTGGTGTGATAGATTTTTTTGAGGTTTTGAAACCAATAGTTGGAGGATAGGGAATTACCTGAAATTGTTTGAAATAAGGATGTGCATGTGGAATGAATTTTACATGCCTTAGTTGTTACGTCAGTAGCTAAATTGACATGTGGATAGCAGCAGCCTAGATCTACTGGGTTTGATATTACAGAAGCATTTCTCGATGTTTCCAAGAGAAAATGTCCTGGCAACTGAGAAAGTTCAAAGTCCCAGTTTTGGCAGTATATTAGAAGTATGAGCTCCGTCCCAAGAAATAATCTTGGAGTCTCCCAGAGGACTGAGAATTTAACAAAAACTTTTTAATATCCAAACGTGATGACTGGCATTCTCTGTCTGCAAGTATATTTGGGAAGAGGAGGTAACTCATTTTTGAATCTCACTAAATACTTGGGCACAGATTACTATATTGAATTAATGAGTTTCCAGGTCAGAAATACTTCATCTGAGTTTTAATGATGGTTGACATAAAAGGATTATTTTAATTTATATGAGTGCCTTCTTATTATTCTGTTAGCAGTACAACATGAAGTACTTTGGAAGATAATTTTTTATTTTCCAATGCCATTCATTAGTCAATGAAATTCAGCTTTTTCCATTACTAATTTCTTATCTAAAGTTGGAATAGTCCAAGCCGTCTCTTCTGTTATGGAAATCTTCCAAGTCTCCAGCATTTCTTCTTGCACACTTTGAACTTGATTTATATATTCCAAATGAGGGAAACAGAACTGGAATGAACACACTGTTTAAGGTGAGGAGGTATCATCACTTGTGTAATATATGGCACTATAATATTTTCATCATTGCATAAAATGTATATTTAAATATCATAATGTCCTAATGCTTTTCTGGTCAGAAGACTTTGCTGAGCAGATGCTTCTTAATGAACTCTTTATAGTGACACCAAGACCTTTTAGTTGATTTACAATGCATGAAGACCAGGAATAGTTCAGACTGTTTCTTCTCAGATGCATTGCATTGCACTGACTTTAGTCTCTCATCCTATTGCCCAGCTAATCATTTTTTCTGTCCTTCCAAAGTTCCTCAAAATTCTTCCATATCTAGACTTACTCAGAATTCTCTCACATCTAAATAATTTTATGTAAGCCATAATTTTCTGACATCTATTGTGCACTCTTTTATAAATCATCACTAAATATATGCAGTAATCCTGGCTATAGCACAAATTGTTAGGATATAAAGCTGTTAAACTCCTTCCATGCTGAAAGTTTGCATCTTATTCCTACAGTTTGCTTTTTCTCTCTTGATCGACTTCTAATCAACTTTTTGCTGCCGAGTTTTCTAACCACACAACTTGGATAGCACCACTTCACTGTTATCAGAGCAGCTTTGAGCCTCCATCTCCCGATCTGTGGCCCCTGGAATAAACCAGGGAGTCAGGATGGGCCTGTGCAGATAAAGTCTCTTTGTATCCCCATGCGAAGGACTCAGCTTGTTGCTGCCATGCTGTGTTCTGCAGGATTCCTCCAGCAGTTAGAAGTTTGTTTTGCAGGAGTGGGACGCAAAACCCAGTGAGCAGACAGGAGCAGAGGCCATGCTGCGTCCAGCTGGCTCTCGGGCTGAGGTTTGGCCCTTGTTGCTTCCAGCTGGGACTTGCCCAAGAACAAGAG